GGGGAGTCAGAGAGGGATTTGAAGAAGATTCCCTGCTGGCTTTGGAGGTGGAGGAAGAGACCAGGAGCCAAGGAATGTAGGTGGCCTCTAGAAGCTGGAAAAGGAAAGCACATAGTTTCTTCCCTGAGACCCTCCAAAAGGCACTCAGCCCTGCTCACACCTTGATCTTAGGTCAATGAAACCCATTTCAGACTTCTAACCTCCAGAAGTATAAAATAAGAAATTTGTACTGTGTTAAGCCACTAAGTTTATGGTGATTTACAACAGCAACAACAGGAAACTAATAAAAGTACCTTCTACATGACAGGCACTGTGCCTGAGGCTGGGGCTACAACTGGAAGCAGGTTAGAGATACAGCGCTTGACCTCATGGATTTTTGGCCGTTGCATTGAATGGTAACCTACTAATTGCAAAGCTGTTTCATTGCGGTCCAGGGGGGATACCTGCAGAGCAGAAGCCTGTAGCACCCGGGAAGTCTACAAAGGATGCCTGCCTCCTGAGTGAGCCCAGGGTGGCCTGGGTGAGGAAGAGTGAAGAACCTTACTCCAGAGCAGTACTGTCCTGTGGGACTGGAATGTGAGCCACCCATCTAAATGCGAATGCTCTGATGGCCACAGGTTTTTTTAAAGTAAAAAGAAATAGTGAGATTAATATTACAATATATTTTATTTAACCCCATATTCCAAAATCTTATCATTTCAACATGTAATCAATACAAAACATTGAGATAAATTACTTTTGTTTTTGGTTTCCCAGAACTCATTCTTTGAAATCTGTGGGCTTTTCATACTCACAGCACATCTCCGCTTCGACTAACCTCAAGTGCTGCAAAGATACATGTGGCTGTACCTTCCATATTCAGTAGAATGACACTGGAGAATGAATGGGATTTATTTGTGAGGGCAGGTGGGTGTAGGGTCCATTGTGGAAATGGGGTCAGGGAGAGGGAAGGGGGAGCATGGTGGCCAGGGGACGGCACACATGCAGGCCGGAGGAGGAGGGGCAGGCCATGGAGGGAGGGCAGGCATGCAAGAGGAAGAGATGGGTCATGGAGTGGGAGCATCGGACCAAATGGGCCTGCGGAGCTGGGTCCCAAGAGCAGCAGAATCCATGGAAGGATTGTAAACTGTGGATCAGCATGGTCAGATTGGGGCTTTTCAAACAACTTGAGGACAGATTATAAAATATTTAGATAGGATAGAGAACAGTCAGGAGGGTCGTGAGTGTCCACCATGGGAGAGAAGATAAATCCATCCTGACTCTCTCTCCATGCCTGCTCTTTACTCTGGAGGTGAACAAATAAACTCACAGGCCTAAAAAGTTCCATGAAGAGCTCCAGGGAGCTCCGTGAGCTGGAACATGTCTTTTCATGTTGCTTCTTTCAGAATCCAGAAGAGGCTGAGCTGATCGTACTCACCATCATCACCAAAATCACCACAATCACCATTAGTACTTCCTGAGCCTTTCTAATGAGCCAGACCCTCTGCGGAGCCCTTTGTTCATATTAACTCTTCTAAGCTTCTCAACAATCCTACCAGGCAGGGATTACTTTTATCTCCATTTTACAGATGAGATAACAGAGGCTCGGGAAGGTTAAATGACAAAGCCACACAGCCATGGAGTGGCGGCAGTGGGACCCAATCCAGGTTGTATGGCTCAGTGGTTCTGCAGGCCTGGAAGGGATCTGGAGCCAGGCACGTGCTGGATGATGAGGAGCAAACAGACTGCCTGTCTCGGAACAGTGCCAGAAAGGAGCTGCTCCAAGCCTGAGTCAGAGCAGCAGAGATCTGGGTTCTTCCCCTTTTGAACTGAATGAGTGATCTTTCCATTTCAGCCCAGCTTTATTTCAGAGTCCTCCTCCCTGTTCATTTCAGAGTCTGTGCCCACCTTTAGAGAGCCATATACTCTCCGAAAGAGTGCCCCTTCTGTCCCTATCGGCCTCGCAAGGTCAGTGACGTGTTCCACTCCTCTCAGCAGGCTCGCAGTGATGGTCTCCTTCCTTCCTCCTTCCCTCCCACCTCCCTTACTCCCTCTTTCTTTTATGCCAGGTCATCTTCTTAGTGCCCTCATACCCTTTGCGTTCAGTCTTATAGTCTCCTCCTGAAAGGTGATAGATGAGGCCATTGTACAGATTAGAAAGCCAGGCCAAGGAACACACAGGACTCCTTTCCACCCACACACTGAAGCTCTTCTCTGAGCTCCCATTACCACCAGAGCCTTTCCCAGAGCCTATGTAATTTGGCATTTCGATTTATCCTGCGGGCTTACTGGCACTTTAAAAGCCTTTTCTAATTGGTATCTGTTCTCAGTGAGATTCAACCTCCATTATATGAAAAAAGACCCTCTTACTGATTCCTTGCCTTGCCTTTTTTTGAATACAGCGGCAGGTGTGTCTCTTGAATGAGGACTTTTTTTCCCCCAAATGAGTTTGCATTCAATTAGCTACAAATATGTTCTGTGTGTGCGCGTGCACACGTGTCTTAAGTATATAAAGACACATACATGCACATTCAGATTATTTGAACACAAAATCCAATGAGCTGAAATTCCATTTTTGATGTAAATGAGTAAAATTTCTTCATGAAGCATTGTAAGGGGCATTCAGCTCACACTGTATTTAGAGATCAGCATCTCTCTTCATTTTCCCTATTCTTCCAAACATCCCTTCAACTTACTGCAAAGAATGCAGGTCAAAAGTATCTTAAGAAATCCTTGGTCTACAGCATGTCCGCTCTTTATTTTAAACCATCTTAAATATATCCTTATCATAGCCAATGCCCTCCAGTATTCTAAAGGCCTTTGTTGCATAAGCAATTTCTCCATTCTGTGGTGGCTTATCTGACAGTTTCCCATTTACTTTCTACTTATTATTGCACTTGACTTTGAATTTTAAAACCCCACTGTGGGTTTAAAGGATCTTGAAGGACAAAATAAAAAACCTAGATTAACAATTACTATAAACCTGCTAGAAAGTAAAAAAAAAATTTTTTTTCTTTTCTATTTGGGCCAAAGCAAAGGCTTGAAGCTCAAGTGTAATCCAAATGCATCATATAATGAAGCAGATATCCTGGAAGAGTGTCTTTATATTTCACTCAACTCTCTGCCTGACTTCACTTCATTCTCACTAACTGAAGATAGTCTGAGGATGATGCCTTTTTTATCTGAATTCTGGGGGAATACTTGAACATTAAGCCTCATTTAGACTGAATGAAAATTCATTTTCTTGCTGCCTTCCCTCTTGGCTCCTTTTCTGAGCTTTAATTGAAAGGAACAGCACCAGGCTGTACACCATGCCACCTGAGTTTCTGCACCCCCAGAAGCTCTCTGCCCCAGGTAAAGACCCCCAGTGTTTGTCCTAAGAATGGAGAAAACACGGATGGGATTCTTAGGCTCTGAGACTCAGAAGAAAGAGGCAGCTGCTGATGAAATAGCCAGGCGTCAGCTTCAATGAGAGGGCTATGTGGATATGCTTGACCTCACTCCCCAGGAAGTCCCTGCAGCTCCTAAGTGCCCCTCTTCGTGCCTCTTCTCTGCCACATCTCCTGTGTGTATTCTCAAGAGTCTGCTTAGTTCTGCTCAACAAAGCTGCCCTCAGTGGTCCATTCTGGTCAAACATCCGAAGAGCAATAGCTAACATTGTGTCAAGTATGCCACGTGGCAAGCACAGTTCTGGGTGCTTGGGAAATAATCGTCCATGTATTCTCCACAGTGACCCTATCAAATGAATACTATTATTCTCTCATGTTACAAATGAGGACACTGAGGCCCCAAGCGGTAAAATCAGCTTGTCCAACATCACATAGCTAGTTGATGGTGGAGTCAGTTTATAAATTCAGGCCATCTAGCTCCAGGATCGGTGCCCTTAACCACTGGGCCACACTAGCCATGCCCCCGGGTGCTGATTCTTCCAGGCTCTGTGCTAAGTAACACACAGGTGTATTTTCACATGGTCTTCTCAACAAGTGGGTGTTGCTATTGCATTTTTATAAGATGCATATCCAAGTCATTTAGCTCGTGAGTGTAGGAGCTAGACAAATTTATTTCTTCATTCAATAGACATTTATTGAACATCTAAATGTCCTATACTCAGTGCCACAGATACGGAGGTGAGAACAGACATTGTTTCACACTCTCATGAAATGGGGCAGGCAGACATTTATCATATTATTCCACAATGAAGCCATCATTGCAAATTTGGGTGAGAAGGCCCAACACAAGAAGCCAGTGCAGGGGTTCTGACCTCGCTGGGGTTGGGGGGCATGTGCTGGGGGCTTTCTCAACATATCCCCTGGGACCCATCCAGGGGAATCCAGGTGACAGTGGGGGTACTGGGGCACAGACAGGGAAAAAAACTATTATCAACAAAGGAGCAGTGTGTGCGTAGGCCTGGCGGGGGAGGACACAAAGTGAATTTGCGACACTGGAAGCAGGCCAGCATAGCTAGAATGCCAAGAGCCAGGGGAGGGTTGTGGGAATGCCTTGCCATCCATCATTCCATTGGCCGTACAGTTCCCTCAAGGGGAGGGATTCCACTGACCCTACTATTATAGCAGATTCTTAGCAGCAAATTTTGCTTTTCTTGTTTCATGAAACAGTTGCTAAAAGCATGTTCTCCAGTCTCAGAAACACGGTTTGTGATATAAGCAGGCATAGTTTCAAATATCTCTGTGATTTACCGTCACTAACATAATCCGTCAGGGCTCCATTTACCAAGGAGACCATGCAGGTGAAAACCCTTGTAAACAGTGATGTGCTTTACACGTACCCATGTTATTATCCTTAATAACAGCTCGTTCTGGATGATGCATGAACCTCTTACAGGAGTTAATATATGGAAAGCATTCAAAATGGTGCCTGGCTCCCGTAAACAACTATATAAGTGTTAACTATTATTTCTACTATTCTGCCTCCCTTTTTTTTTCTTTCCCCAGGCTTGGTCTGAGGAGGATCTGTGCATCACAAAAACTGTTTTATGTGTCCGTGTTCCTCTTCTCTTACAGGCCAGAACAAAATCTGCTTCATCCCAGGCATGGTGGGACCTATATTGGAGATGACACTTATCCCTGAGGCTGAGCTCCGGAAAGCCACCATACCAATCTTCTTCGACATGATGCTGTGTGAATATCAAAGGAGTGGGGATTTCAAAAAGGTAAAAAAAATGAGGCTGGAAACTCATGCCATCCTCCCTAATCCCTAGCCCATTTCCCTATAATAATATCCTCATTCCATCTGCCTGGGCTTCATTCAGGGGCTTGACGGTAGGATAGGGACATTATTCATGTGCCCAGAATGACCTGGCAGATCGGATTTGGTCACCATTCTATCATGCTTTCCTGCCCAAGGCCAAGATTAAAATGCACTTTCTTGCTGTGGATCAGCTTGGTCCCTTTCTCAATAGTACAAGTACCCTACTTCCCTACCTAGGAGTTCCCTCAGGGTGTGTCCAAAGAGCCCACCGCTCCCACCTGCCCCCATCTTGTGCCTGCCTCTGTCCAGCACTTTCTATTCTGGGACAACCTGGAAGATTGATATTGTCTAGAAAGAGCTGACCCTCCCAGGAGTCATACTCAGCCATGAGTCAAAATTGACAGCGGATGGTGTCAGAGGCCCGTTGCCCAGGAGAGACCTGTGGAGCTGCCATGGCAATAGGAGGCTTTCCCCAGCATGGAGGGAGTGAGCAACTTGCATGAAGCACAAGTGTCTTTGGCCAAGTATTTTCATTGAAAAGTCCTGTCAAGCTTGACGAACGAGGACCACTTTCTCAGCCCAGTCACTACAGAAGCTTCTGACAGTGCAGTAGGCACCCATTTCCATGATAGGTTCCTGGCAGTGTTCGGTAGTTTCACCCAGTTCAGGAGGGTTGGTGTTTAAGTCTTGTCAGGCTGCCTTAGTGGTTCCCTCGGATCTTGACCCCCTGTCCTCTCCGCCACACCTTCCCATCTGGTTTTACCCCTAATGGGCTCTTCCTCCTCCTCCCCCAGCATTTCTGCCTCTCATTCTAGACCATCTCCTGCCACCAAACAATTTCCCTTAAAACAGGTACTTAAAAGGCAGCAGGTTCCAAACTGCCTTTCCTTAAAATCCTTACAGATCTTACCCCTTTCTTGCTTATTGGTTCTCTAATCCTCACCCAGTAACGTCCAAACCCTTCTGCCTGTGTTCAGGGCCCTCCTTGCTCTGGCCTTCGGTCAGCCTTGTCAGCTATTATCCCCACCTCTTTTCCCACCTCACCTGTTCTCTAGCTATTCCCACAGCTCACCTGAATTGGGGTACCTCGGTCAGCATCTTCCTCCGTGTGTTTCTCCTTCCTGCTACTACTCTGCCCTGTTCACAGTCCTGCCTGCCAACACCTAAACTCCTACTGATCCTGCAAAGTCCATTGCTGAACTGGGTCCATAAAGAAACCTTTCCCTCTATGCCTACATCATTTTATCTCTCTGAGGTATGATGATTATATACTGCCTTGCCTTATACTCATTCCTGAGTATTCTCTGCATCTTCCTCATCCTTATCTAATAAAAGTGATGATGATGATGACAGAAATGGCTGCCATGAACTGGGTGCTTACTATGTGCCAGGCACTATAAGTACTTTCCCTATTTAGTTCATATGATCTTCTTTATTGCAACCCTATGAGTTAGGTAGCATGATCATACCCATTTTAAAGATGAAAATATTGAAGCCTAGAGAGGTAAAATCACTTGCCCAAAGTCATACGTCAACAAAGAGATGGGGCAGAGACTGCAACACGCAAGTCACTATAGTCCCCAAACCATGCTGTGCCTACGACATGATCCAGTCCCTGGTATTGTCACGGTAAATGTTGGCTGACTAAAAGAATGCATGGCATTCTCTCCAGCAGTGGTTTCTCAAAATATATTCCATGGAGCACTAATCCAAACAGATGCTCTAGGGAAGCGGGTTTCGAGGCTGAATACCTTTGGAAGCCACTGCACATGGTAGCCCCTCTTGGAGATTTCCAGTGCACATTAACATAGTCAAAGCACTGAGGCATTCCACCGTAAACAGACCTGCTCAATTTCCCAAACTTATTTGTGCAGGAAGTATCAATTAGCTATGCCATTCTGCCAATCACCTTGGAAAACATTGTTCTAAGGGGAAAAAGACACTACAGGTGGTCCTCAACTTACACTGGTTTGATTTACGATATTTTGACTCTACGGTGTTGTGAAAGTGATATACATTCAGTAAAAAACCTTACTGTGAATTTTGAATTTTGATCTTTTTCTGGGCTGGCAACATGGAGTAGATTCTCTCTCGTGATACTGGGCAGCAGCAGTAGCCCTCGCTCCCAGTCAGCCACATGATCATGAGGGTAAGCAACGGCTATACTTAGAGCCATTCTATGCCTATACAACTATTCTTCTTTCACTTTCAGTATAATATTCAGTAAATTTCATGAGCTAATCAACATCGTATTATAAAGTAGGTTTTGCATTGGATGATTTTGCCCAACCATAGGCAATGTAAGTGTCCTAAACATGTTTAAGGTAGGCTGGGCTAAGCTATGATGTTCAGTAGGTTAGGGATTTTAAATGCATTTTCAGCTTAACTATATTTTCAGCTTGCAGTGGGTTTATCAGGACATAACCCCATTACAAACTGAGGAAGATCTGTAATTAGCTCTGATGATACCAGTGTGAGAGGGTACTCTCCTGCCCAGGGATTAATTAGCAGGAGCTCTCTAGTCCCAGAAAGGCTAGTGGCCAGCTGTCCCCTCGGCAAAGAGCCTGAAAAGAAATCAGGTTCAGGAGGTCAGATAGAGGAAGATACCATATCCAACCAGTTGGGATCTGGGGGACTGGAAGGTGAAACCCAGAGTGTGTGTTTAAAGGCAGCTTGCAGTCTGCTGCCTTTTAAGGGGGAAGTGAAGTGTGTGAAGCTTGGGAACATGTAGAGGGCACACAATGTGAGATGAAGGGCATCACACTTATGCTCAGGTCAGCATTCCCTCCAGAGGTGTATGCACAGCTGGCTCAGGAGATGTTCTGGGAGCAGGTGTGCAAAGGAAACACTCCAAGTACCTGATAGTATGCCATATTTAGAAAACAAGCAAGCCCTTCATTTCTGGATTATGATCTGACAGTTGTGTTAGTGTCCTCATGTGTTTAGTAGCCTTCAGAGGCTTGCCTGAGTATGATTTTTTTTTTTTTTTGTCCTAAAGGATTTCCTTATTGTGGCATCCCCATGACATCTACCCACCTGTTTTCCATGAATGGGGGTCATCCTTGGACTCCTCGCTCCAAGCTATGTTCCTTGTAATAATGTTCCCCAATTGCTTCTCCTAATTTTTCCCTTATCAAAAGAGACAGGACAATCAGGCTGACTAATGGGGCAGCTTTCCATGAAAAAACCAGCTGTTGTGCCTGGCGGAAGCTCAGCTATGGAATGAGCAGATCCAGGCATGTCTCCTTGGTTCAAAGTAAGCAGCCCTGGAAGGTGTCCCCAGGAAAGGAGGAAGTCAATCCCTCATGAACCCCAAGCAGCCCTGATGGCCAAATCCAGAGTGAACCCTGGAACGGGGTCTGAAATCCAGGAGGCATTTCTTGCAAACTAGCATTAGGGAATGATGCCAAAATTATCAGCTAAGAACCAGGTGCCTGTAAGATGACAGCCTTACCTTTCCAAAAACTGAGTTTCTTAAAGGAAATAGCAGAACCAAGAGTAAAAGTTAGCAGGACCCTTGCTCCCAGTTCACACCATGCCCCCTGGCCTGGTAGCCAACATCTTGTGGTTCTCTTGCTGGCCTGCCTTTGCTCAGGCTCTTCCTTTGATTTCTTCACCTGAAGAGATTCTACTTAGTCTACTCAGAGATTCTACTTCAGCTGAGGCCTCACGTTTTGAGACAGCCCTTTGTGCTTCCTGAGGCAGTGGTTCATATGGATGCAAAAGACAGATTTGCTCAAGCAGGATGTGCAAGGGCTGCAACTAGGACAGGAAGGGGTTAGACACTGATGGACTTAAGAGGGGGTGGTGGTGGGGAAAAGAAGGCTCTGGGGCAATCTCTCTTTCTGCTCTGAGTTTCTTTTGCAACCCCATTGCCAGATTTCCCTGCCTTCTCCTCTAGCCCAAATAAGACAGCTGATGCATTTGACTGATAACTTTTATCCCTCATGAGTACAGCACTTCACCCAAGACCATCTCAGGGGTTTCTGTCCTATGCCTCAGACTGGGTGTCCCATCCATGGTACACTCCATAATTCCCTTGGTGGGGCTATGGACAGGGCAGTTTCGGCAAAAGGAGCCTTGGGTTGCCACATTTGTATGTGGCACCTGGTATGACTGTACCTGGTCAGGGTGAAATGCATCTTGTCCTGCCTGCATGGGGCTCAGGCATATCACTTGTCCCACATTGCATGACGATCTACTCATATATCTGTCTCTGTCGCAAGACCATGAGTTCTTTTAGGGCTGAAGCCAATCTCTCATTCCTGAACTAGCTCCTATCAAGTGCCTGTCATAAATGTGGTGGGAACCACGTCAGTGTTCCCAGGATGAATGGAGGCATTTAAACCTGCATCCTACCACATTTCAGAGGAAAAGCCTTGGCACAGGGAGGAGTATTCCAGTGAATATTTTCATAATGTAGAGTAATGAGTGTAGCTGACCTTTGCTTGAGTAATCCACAGAGGCTGGGTAGACCAGCTGTCTTCCAGGCCAATTCTTTGTGGAGGGAGGGGTTTTGGGTTTCTAGGTGAAGTTGGTGGGAAGGAGTGGGAGTCCTGGGGCACAGAGACTGAGAAGAGTGGTTACCTATGATACAGATCGTAGAACAGGACTGTGGAACAATCAGCCTGAGGGTCTGAGCTATAGCAGGCAGGAGGTTCCAGAAGAAATCCCTCTCTCAGAGATGGAAGAGGTAATAGGATTTGATAGCAGCACCTAGAGCAGCGGCTAGAACATAGCACAAGGTCAGTAATTGCTTGGTGAATGAATTAATGGACAGAAATACCAGTTTAGCAGATCCCACTGAAACTGAGTCTTGGCATGGAGTAAGGTGGTGATCCAAATGGCTTAGAACATAATGTGGAAAAGAGCAATCGATTCAGTAAATATATACTGGACACCTACTGTATTGTGGACATTGTATTTTAGAGTCAGATAGGTTTGCTGCTTATGGGCTGGATAAATTTGGGTAAGTTATTTAACCTCTTTCAGCCCCAGTTTCTTTATCTGTAAAATGAATATCATAATACCATTATAGGTTCCCAAACCAGAGCTCTACAGGGGATGATCTGGAGCAGGCAGGGACAAGATAACTCCAAGAAAATTAGGAAGCTGCCCTGACTCCCTTCTTACATGACATTATTGTCTCCAGCTCTTCCCCAACCCTGCCCCAAGTCTGCTTCCATCCACCCCCAGAAAACCAGCATTTCATTAACAAAGGAGGCCACAGTCTGACTTATTGAGGCCAGTTCCATCCCTTCTATCTCTCTGCCAACCTGGCATTTCACACTATCTCTGCCCCTCCCATACAAAGTCAAAGCTAACACCATACCTTTGAAGAAGAGCTCTTGTTTCCTAAATTTCATACTCCTGCAGGATTCTAGGCACACAAATAATGAAAATAGCCAAGATGTTCTCAAGCAGTCAGGAGAGGCAGCAGAAGCAATGCAGGGAAGGCATGATGCAAAAGTGAGGCCTCCATGAGTCATTGTGCTAGAAGAGGGAGGCCCACCCAGGAGGGCTGGGTTCCTAGAGTTCACTTCCTTTTCTCTGACTAGGGCTTTTTAAGATTTGTATTGGGCCTCTGTAGCATTGACTACTGTGAAAGTAGCCTGCAGCTGCTCCTTAAGGAATACCCACCTTGCAGGGATGGGGGAGGAGTCAACAATGTGATGCAGTTGTGTAGCTGTGGATGAAAATGGAATTGATTTGGAGAAGCCAGAAGCTCTGCACAGTGGCACAGCATTGTGTATGTTTGGGAGCAAATGCTGGGCCCTTGGGCCTACTCTGGTCAAGTCCATCCATCCTTTGAAACCCAAGACAAAGGTTCCACTTCCCTCAGTTTCCTTCTTTATAAAATAGGAATGATGATAACCATCCCCCTTGGCTATTGTAAAGACTAAGTGAGATTATGATGCTATTGACAATGACAATGTCAACAATGTCATGATGATAATTGCTAACAATTACTGAGCACTTACTATGTGCCAAGTGCCATGCTAAGCCTTTCACGTGTTTTCCCATTAACTCCTCCCAGCACCACTCTAAGTAGGTGCTGTTTTAAATCTCCATGTAATAGATGAGAAAATTGAGCCCCAGAAAGCTTATTAACTTGCTCAAGCTCACATAGTACGGAAAAAAGTCAAAGCAAGACTCAAACTAAGTCTCTTGGATGCCAAAAGCTGTGCTCATAGCCACTCCAGAGCACAGTCCCTGATGGGGAGCAAAACCGGCCATAGTCTGCTCTGGGATGTGCCTGACTGAACCCTCACTCTCCGACCTGCCCTGGAGGGCTCAGGCATGGTATGGCATCATCCAGCTCCGCACAAGCCCTGGCACCCTGTAATTTCCTTCCCTGCAGGCTCTTTTGTGACCCTGTGACAGGTGCTTATTTACCCCATGCACTTCTCTGCTCTAAAGGCAAGTTCATCACATGAGGAGGAATCATGCCAACATTTACCATTGAACAACTCAGACAAGAAAAAATGCTGTTTTTTCTCCCCCAGAGCTGCTTTCCAGTAACATTCAGCAGTAATAGCAATAACATTAGCAGTAATCATAAACAGATGAGTAAACCCAATGCATATGTGAGTTTATGCTTTCCCCTGGTGCTTTATGTATGAAATCTCCTCCAGCGCTCCTAACTACCCCCATGCAGTAGGTACTACTATTATATTGATAGGCCAAATCTGTCCCGCTACCTGCTTTTGTAAATAAAGTTTTATTGGAATACAGCCATGCTGATCTGTCTATGTATTATCTATGGTTGCTTTTGTGTTACAGCAGCAGAGCTGAGTAGTTGTGACAAAGACTATCCAACCTGCAAAGCCTAAAATTTGCCATCTGGCCCTTTACAGAAAATGTTTGCTGACCCCTAATATAAACTCTGAAACAGGATTAGAAAGACCTACTAGCTTTCCCAAGATGGTGGAGGGAAGGAAGCAGACATGTCTAGACTTCCAGACAGTCTAACATCAGAGCCCATGCTTGTAGTCCTTCAGCTGTATTCTTCCTGTCCTAGGCTTGCTTAATAGACATCTCTAAACAACATAGCACCAACTCTTGACTCTGGATGATATTATGCCTACAAGATGCTTAGTACCATGCATCATATAAGGTCCATGATTCAAGTGCAGACTGGCAGCCCAGACCCTTGTCATATTGGCCCCCACCTAGGTCTTCATTCTAATTTTTTTCCTTTCTCTCTTTCTTGAACTCTGCTCCTGCTGAACAGCTTTCCTCATTTTTCTCTGCATTCCTACCTCCACCCTTTGCTCACTATTAGGCATGCCTCCTGCCTAGAATTCCCTTCCTTTTCATATTTATCACAATCCTATCCATCTTCCAGGTTTTATGTATCTCCTTCCATAAATCTTCCCCAAATGTAGAAACTCACAGAAAATTTTCTCATTTGTGCTATGTCAGCTTCTGGTCCTTTCCTTTGGCCCTCAGCACACAAAAGTGAGGGAACAATGGCACCACAGATGTGAGCTGAGGCAAGAGTGACTCCAGCCCCTGCCTTCAATCACCTGAAGACTCCAACCAACTAGACTGGGCTTGATCCTTTGTGCACTGAAAAGAGCCTGCCAAAAGGTCTCTGTCATTCATCTGAGACTTTAGACAAGCCACTTAAATTCCCTGAGCCTCTCCTTCCTCATGAGTATTAATACCTGACACTTACTGAAGTAGAGCCAGTCCAGGGCTATCTGCTCTTCATGCACTTTCACATTTAACAGTGATCCTCCTTGGGGCACCTGGGTGGCTCCGTCGGTTAAGCATCCAACTCTTAATTTCTGCTCAGTCATGGTCTCAGGGTCATGAGATCAAGCCCCACATCAGGCTCCATGCTGGGTGTGGAGGCTGCTTGAGATTCTTTCTCTCCCTCTCCCTCTGCCCCTCCCCCCTGCTTGTGTATGCTCTCTCTCTCTCTCTTAAAAAAAAAAAAAAGTGATCATCTGTAAATATGACCTCCAGACCTCATGGAGATATTTTAAGGACTGAGGGTAGAGAGGTTGGGTGAGGAGCCAGTGGTACCCACCCAAAGACTGCCTTGACCTTGGTGACCTTTGCCAAGGGCCTCCTTCCTTTCTCCAGATGCCAGTTTCTTATTTAATGGTAAAATTGAGAAGTGCACTGCATGATGTGGATGGACTCATCAGGGCATGTTATTAAAACAGTACAAACCGTTTTTACATTACAGCCATGAAAAGGGACCCAGTATGGCCCTTTATAATATTGAAAAAACCATGAACTGAAGTGGGTGAGATGCTTCTTGATGGTGAAAGTAGGGAGATAGAAAACTCTCCGTCTTCACTGTAACAAGATTTGGTGGGACTGTGGGTATGTGCTCACTTTCAAGTCACTTACCTAGTCTGATCTCTGACCATTACAGTTGTCCCCAGTCCTTACTCTCTGAGGCATCAGCTCATACAAATATGACAGCTTCAAGTATGGATGAGCTCAGGGGCTCAGCTTTTCTCCATCTCCCCCTTTCCGCTTTTCTCCGTATTGGTGTTCCTAGGCACGGTCTTTCATTGTGGTCATCTCCAGCAGCCTTAGGCTTACAGCCTTCCATCTTCATGTGGAGCAGACAGACTTGCTAAGAGTTCCTGAGCCTTTATTAATCTTAGTGTCTAGATGATGAAAGATACTGATTAAGAGCTAGGCCTGGGTCACGTGCCCGTACCTGGAGCTAGGAAGGCATGGTCAGCTGCATTCCGGAGACTGAGACCAGGACCAGTGTGATCCCCAAAGTATGGAGAAAGGTATGCCAGACCGGCAGAAATGATAGCTGTCCATGACACTGTGCCATTCCCTGAAGATGCAGGGCTCTGTCACATACCTCCATGTCTTTGCACATGCTATGCCCTCTGCTCGAAATGCCCTTTCCCCTTCACTCGCCCTTCCCACTCCCTCCTTCCTTCTCTCTCCAGTGCTTACCATCTACTTTTCTTCCCCATGCTCTGAGGAACTCCCCAAAGGCAAGCATAACATCCTGTTCTGTGTGCACTCCCCGTTCCTGGCACTGACCCTGAGAAATGATAGGCGCTCCCTAAAGCTTTGGTTAAAATAACAAATTGACTAATTTCAACATTCAGCCTCCTAACATTGTTATTATTGATTTCCATGTCGTATTTCTTCAGTTTGAAAACGAAATCATCCTCAAACTGGACCATGAGGTGGAAGGGGGCCGAGGAGATGAGCAATACATGCAGCTGCTGGAGTCGATGTAAGTTCAGCGCCCCATGCGCGGGAGGAGCCTGGGGGTGGGCTGGAGGCTGGAGGGCTCAGAACTCCAGGGCCTTCAGAGGCTCTCTCCTCCCTTTAGAGATCCATCTGGTGGCTCCTGGTATTGGAGAAACTTCACTTTTAAAAGAAACCTCAAATATCTCTCCCTAGAGCGGCTGTTTCTTTGATATTGATGGAATGAGACAGATAAAAAGAAACTTTGCTGTGTTAGGAAGGGGAAAACAATCCACCAAAATGTTCACTTTTGTTACCTCTTTGCTGTGGAATAATTCTTGCTAGTTTTTCCTTTTTTCTCTTTTAATCTTAGACAGATGTTGATCACGACCAACATATAGGGAGCACATGAAGCACACGGATGCCATGCCAAATGCTCTCTGCACACTGCCTCATTTAGCTGCATTTACTCTCTGATCCCCGGGTCACAGAGCTGGCCCCTGAGGCTCATGGAGGGTCTTGTCTGAGGAAACTAGAACAAGCTAGTTGGGTGGACAAGCTGGGACCCGAACCTGAGTGAGGCAGTGCACAGTGGTCAGCACTGAACTGGGAATCAGGACACTGATTTGTTTTAACATCTTATTAAGATATAATTTATACACTATACAGTCCACTAAACATGTACAATTCAATGGCTTTTAATGTATTTGAGAGCTATACAATCATAACCACAATCAGTTGTAGAACAGTTTTGTTCCCTCCCAAAAGAAACCCCATGTCCTTTAGCCATCATCCCCCCTACTTTCTGTCCCTGTGGATTTGTCTATTCTGCACATTTCATATAAATGGAATCAATATATGGTCCTTGGTGCGTATTTCCAAGGGTCATCCACGTTGTAGCAGGCGTCAGCACTTAATTCATTTTTGTGGCTGACTGATATTTCACTGTTTAGACACCCCATTTTGTTTATTCACTTACCTATTAATAGACATTTCGGCTGTTTCTACTTTTTCACTATTAAGAATGGTGATGCTATGAACATTTGTGTGTAAGCTTTTGTGTGGACATATGCTTACAGTTCTCTTGGGTATAAGCCTAGGAGTGGAATTGCTGGGTCATTTGGTAACTCTGTTTGGCCTTTTGAGGAACCATGAGACTGTTTTCCAAAGTACTGTACCACTCACATTCCTACCAGCTGTGTATGAGAGTTCCAGTTTTTCCATATTCGACCCAACACTTGTTAATATCTCTCTTACTAATTAGAGCCATCCTAGTGGCTGTGAAAGTGATATTGTCATTTTGATTTGCATTTCCTTGATGGCTAATGATGAGCATTTTTTTCATGTGCATATTGACCAATTTTATATATTTGGAGAAAGACATTGGGTTTTAACCCTGATCCCACCACCTAGCATCTCTCTAACTTTGGGCCAATCACATCTTTAGCCTCAGTATCTCCATCTATAAAGTGGGAAGAATAAGCCTGTGGTTATTTTAAAGAATGAATAACTATAAAGCATCTGGCACACAGCAGGTAAAAGCTTAGTAAATATACTTTGCTCAGACACCTGACTCCCAGTTTCTGTCTCCATGTCAGTTGTCCCCTTTCCCCCAGGACTTCATCCAAGGTTTAGGACTGTGGCTCATTTCTTCCTAGTTGTATATTCTCTGATTTGTATGACTCTCTGATATAACTCTGATTTTGGATTCTTTTCCTAATCCTTTTTGAATATTTCAACTTTAGTAACAAAAGCAAGACTAAAGGCTTTGCTCTAACCACAGTGACCCTCCTTGCCCTGCTCCGTGGGCAGAGCAGATTCCCAGCAGTACCATCCCGGCGGGCCCTGTCCCCCTTCTGTCACTGTGCACAACCCTCACTAAACACATGGATTGCAAAGGTAGCTCAGCCGGAAGGAGAAACCCACTGTCTGCCCCTCGGGTGGGTATCAAGACTGACTGTCCAGGGTAAAAAGTGACATTTTGCCTGAGTCAATGTTTATTTTAAAGTTCTAAAAAGGAAAATCTAAATATTGACCATAAGTGAAACCATTTATAGTGCTGGCAATTTCCATTTTTATAAGCAGATGGGGCTCTGTGGCAGTCTTCAGATGATCAACAAGATTTTCAAATCCTTCCTGAGTGATTATTTATAAAAGGAATTCTTAGAGGTTGAGGAAATCAAAAGTAGCTCATTATTTTTGCTCCTGAGAGAGAGGTGTGAATGATTTCTACAAAACTAATCAAACACAACCAGAGGAGTCAAGTTCCCATTAGAATGTCCAGGGGCCAGGTCCTTGCTTCTTCCTTTGAACTTTCTGAGCCTCAAGTTTCCTTATCTGCAAATTGGGGATAAAAATACTACCCAGCTCTTAGAGTTTTCATTGAGATTATGCAAGAGAAGTCATGTAAAGTACTTAGCACAATTTCTGATAACTAGTAATTACTCTGGAAATATTAGCTATTATTATTATTATTCTCCAGGTAGATACTGATGTGGTTATTTGAAACCATGAACCTACCTGGCATATCTCCTCCAGGCTAGTCATCCTCAGTTCCTCCAGCCCATCTACTCAGCCCTTCATTCAGGGCTTCCACTGGTATGTAGGACCTGCTCTGGGCAAACACAGTCCTGTGGGTACACGGCTTAGGAATATGATGGTGCCTCTATGAATAGAGCAGGACTTCCCTTCCTGGGGCAGCTATAGCCCTGCATTAAGGCACAAGGTTTAGGGCATGGAGTGGGGCTGAATTTCAGCCTTTGTGGGCTCTTGTTCAGTACACAAGCTATACAACCTTACAGAACATCCCACTCCTCCTTACCCTCAGAACTGTCCTCAGAGCCCACTCCCGTTTGTCCATAACTGTCTTAATGTGAAGGTCCCACATTGAATGGAGTAATTAGACGTGCTATCCTGCTGTATGCCGTCTGCCTGAGAATTTTTCTAGAAGTGGCTAGGGAGCTGGAAAGCTGAAGGGGGCAGAGAATGTGTTCTAGGGCCAAGATCCCACCCAAGCCAGTTCAGTACCTGAAAGAGGACCTGTCATATGTAGTGCTGCATACATCATTTTTAAAGGAATGAGTGAAAACCCAGTTCCATCAGCACTGACAGAGTGGGCCTGGGCTCCTCCCTCTGAAGGCCTCCCACACTGAATGCAAATCAATTTCAAGGCCGTGTGAGTTCCCTCCAGGCCCCTCAAGGCAGGAGCTTAGACCTGGAATGGCTGGCAAGGGCTCTGCCACCTCTCCTTCCATTGAGTGAGGAATTATCTGCATCACCTGGAGATTCCCAGGACCCCTTTTCATTGTACTTGTCCTCTATTGTGGATTCAAAGGAGAGGAACAGCTGGGTGACCTTGGCAGGACCCATGGGCCTCATGCCTCCTCTATAAATTGATGATGTTAATAATGCCCAACTCAAGGAAATTTTGTAAGTATTAAACAAGATGACCAATAAAATGGGTTTGCACAGAATCTGGAACACAGGAAGTACTCAATAAATGGTAGTATTATATACTATGGTTAGTTTTTATTTCTGTATCTGCTTCCTCTGCTACACTGTGATTTCCTAGAAGTCAGTGTCTTAATGATTTCTGAATCCCTAGTTCCTAGAACAATATCTGTTGAGTGGATGGATGGATGGTGGATGGTGAACAGCTGGGTGATTTCCAAACAATCTGCCAATCCATCTCACCAGTCCTAGACCATATGAGCAGCTTTCTTACCCTATGCCTAAAGAATAGTGAAACTAAGAAAGCCAAGACTGTGTTCTGAACCCATGCTTCACAAAGGACCAATAGCACTAGCATCATCCGGCTTTTTAGAAATGCAGAATCTCAAGCCCTAGCCCAGATCTACTCAACCAGAATCTATTAACAGAATTTGTTAATCCCCACATTATTCCCATGCACATCGAACTTTGCAAAGCCCTGGACTAAACGAGTTGTTCTTAATGTTGGCTGCATATTGGAATCACCTAGGGAACTTTAAAAATAAAATACTGCTACCTGGCTCCCACTCCCAGAGATACAAAGTCATTGATTTTAGGGTGGGCACTGAGCTTTATAAAATGCTCCCCTGCTGATTCTGACATGTAGCTGGGACTGAGAACCACTAGTCTGGCTGCACTCAGGCCATGAGATACCTTCTGGGTCTGAGCTGCCTGGGAGGCTGTGAGGAATCACACTCCAAACACTGGACAAAGCTTTGTCACATTGTCATTAGCTTGGGAAACAGGGCTGGAAGTGACCGTCCCAGAGGGAGTCAGGCACAGCTGTGACTGAGCCAGACAGGCCTAAATCACAGGGCAATTTGCATCTCTCATTGAGAGCCAGGGAACAGGTGCTTCTCCCACGGAGAAGATGGATTTGTCTGATCACAGCCACAGTTGGAGATGTCGCCTCCTTGCAGCCTGGTTTGGCTTCTGGGAGGAAATGACCCTCCAAAGTCCTTGCCTTTCTCACCTTTCCCTCCTAGGAGCTCTTGGGACCTAAGCCGCCACGGGGAAAGTAGCCAGAAACAAATAGTAGCCTGGGTAATGCTTGTCTACTCAAGATGCCTGAGAACATGCCACAGTGTTTCTCTGTGGGAAAATAGGGAAGTATTTGGCTTGATTCCCAACGTCACCCCTTACCACCAGAGTGATTTGGGAAGGTCATTTAACCTCTCTGAGCCTTGATTCCTTCATCTATAAAATGAGGGGAATAATTTTTATCAGTCAGACTTATTGTGATGATTTCTTAAGAAAAAAGTGATTAGTACAGTGTCTGGTGCAGAATAAGTGATTAATATGAAGTAGTCATTAATCAAAGTTTTAATCCATCTGTCTCCCCTTGCCTAGCCTGTGGGCCTCCTGAAAGTAGACATGATTTTTTTTATATTTCTTATTTTATCTTTCTCCCCATCCCTACCCCACACAATGCCTATCATAGGGCCTAACAACTAATAGATGCTAAGGAATGCCACATTTTTTATTTTTTATTTTTTAAATTTAGAATACTAATATTATAACAAATGTAAATTTTTCAAATAACATATGCACATTTAAATTTTAAAAATGAATACTTTCTTCTCTATTCTCCCACCTAGACCCCTTGTCGGAAGCAACTACCATTAAGAGTTTGGTGTTTATCCTTCCTGACCATATTTGGCACATTTATAAGCACACAGAGATACATGATGCAGACATGCACCTCTACTCACAAACGCTAGAGCCAGAATGCTGATATTTAACAACTGTGTGACTTTGGGCAAGTTAGTTGGCCTCACTGTGTCTTAGTTTCCCCATCTGCAAGCATCCCATCTCGTAAGACAATAATGGGAGATTAAATGAGTTACCATTTGTGAGACATTTGGAATAATGCCTGGGACATGGTAGGTTCTATGTCAGTTGGTTAAATAAAAAATAAATTGTTCTGAGACTTAACTTTTCTCACTGATCTGTATATTTTATAGAGCTTTTTCAGCATATTGAGGTCTCATACTTTTTAATGTCTTCATAGAACTACATTTTGTGAATATACTTTAATTTATTAACCATTTGCTGATTGATGGACATTTAAGATGGTTTCAACTATTTCACTGTAGACACAACTTGTAACTATTATAAATCTTTTCTGTCGAATAGATTCCCTGAAGTAGAATGGTTGGGTCGGAGGGTATGTACATTTACAATTTTGATAGATATTGTGAAAATTGCTACTCAAAAGGTTGTACTGATTTACTTCCAATGTGGGTGTGTACAAGTGACCATTTCTCCACACCATTGCCCACACTGGACATTTTTTTTTCCCATTCTGATGGTGGACGAAAAAATTAAATACTTGTTAAACTGTATGGACAAATAAGTATATAAATGAATACGTGACTGAATAAATGAACAAAATGAGCCAACACATGAACCAGAGGAGCTTGGATTCACTGGTTTATCTGCTCCCCTCCCCCACCAACACACTGGCCATGAGCTTACTGCCCTCCCATCTCTGCCCACAGCCTGATGGAGTGTGCTGCAGAGCACCCGACTATTTTCAAGTCGGTGGAAAACTTTGTGAACCTGGTGAAAGGCCTCCTGGAGAAGCTGCTCGATTACCGGGGTGTGATGACGGACGAGAGCAAAGACAACCGCATGAGCTGCACCGTGAATCTGCTGGTATGTGGGGTTGGCCACCTTGCCCCAAGATCCCATCAGACCAGAGTCCTGGGGGGCAGGCCTGTTTTGGGGTTTCACTATGCTTTTGATAGGGAAGTAGTGCTAACGGCTTCGCAAACCAGACAAAAGTGGGATCAAATCCCTACTCTGCCACCTGCTAGCTTAGCTCTGTGACTTGAGGCCAATAACTTCACCATTCCATGCTCAGTTTCCTCATTGATGAAATGGAAATGAGTGTTTTCTTTAGTACTTAACACATTATATGGAAAGAAAGTGGCACTAGAAAGTGGTTAAGAGTAGGAGCTTTGGAGTTACATAGCTCCTGGGTTCTAATAGAATAGACAAGTTGAGGAAGTTTTCTGAAGGTTTAGTTGGCTTATCTGTTCTATAGAAAAAATAATAGTACCTATTTCTTAGGTTATGCGGTCCAGGGGCATGGTTAAATGCTTACTACATATTAGTTTCCTTCTCTTACGGAATGGAGTAATCTAATAACCAGAATTTACAACAAATTAGTATGGGCCAGGCTAATCAGAGCAGCTAATCTCAAGTTCAGGCTCTTAACCCCTACACCATATGACCTGCCAAGGGCCAACTCCTGAAAAGTCTCCCTTCATATGTCCTGCCATACAGTCATGAGACAGGTAATAGCAGCCCCAGCATTTCACACCATCACATCAGCCCACCCTAAAGTGGTTTAAATGAATGACGTTGGCCAAAAGACCATGTGGTCTATCCATCATATCAATGCCCCCTGACATGCTCAATGCTCCAGCAATATAAGTCCTGTCCTATAGTTCCTTTGTGTGGCCTCTGTTTACCCTAAGTGGACTCCCTTTTTAACAGCCTAGATATTGCCATTGATTTTCTGAAATGCTAAGGTGAGTTTAAAAATCCTGATTACAGCAGAAAGGAATTCACTGCTAATAACTCCACTAGGTCCAATTTACATAAAGAGCAGGAAGAGGGGTTTTCCAGGAGTTTAGCAATTTCTCTCTATGGAGAGACAGAAGTTAGTTGAAGAAACTGACCTTCAACAGTCAGACTCTGAACACGGAGAGAGTTTGGGACAGGCAGATCCACAAGCAATTAGACCCTGCTAGCTTTTGGTGTGGCATAAACATGGCATCAGGAAGGAGGACAGGGAGAGGGTGTCAGGGGAGCTGAGGTCTCATGTGGCTTTGCCACCCACTAACTGTGTACCCTGGGACACATCGCCTCGCCCTCTCTGAGCCTCTGGTGCACGTGGGTACATTGGGTTAAGCCAGGGTCTTCTCAATGTATGGCTCATGGGTCAGACCATGACCTCGTGGCTCGGAATTTGTAAGGACTCATTTACAAATGCATGAGATTAGGATCTCTGGTGGTGGAGCCCAGGACCACTACTAGTATAAATGACCCCTGAGCTTGAGTCAGGCTTCCTAGGTATTGCCAAGTTTAAGTGTTTTTGCCTGTGGAGTCTCATCATAACTCCTCATACTGCTGTACCAACAGGGGTTATGATCCATTATTCTCCTTGGGATCTATTACTATTCCTATTACTCTGATTACTGCTATTACCCTGAGTCCAACCAGCTCCGTCTGAGTACTAGGTCTGAGCTTGTCAACATCAAGCTGGGCTGCCTTTTGTTGTAGACTCTGTCAAAGTAGACTGCCTCAATCTTGACAGCCCCTCTCAGTGCAGCAAATAGCTCAACTTCACCCCTAGTATATGATGGTTGAGGTACCCCCTCTGTCCCTTTACAGTCTAAGGATCAGGGAAGTGACTTTCAAGGCAGAATCTCTTAAGAAGGGTGTTTGATGCATTCAGGAAAATAAATTTTGTGCTCCCATCTCAGGGTCCCCAGATACTAAACAGCAGTCTTCCTCACATCTCCTTCACTATACCCTCTACCCCTGCTGCTCTGCAAAGAAAAACACTCATCACTGTTTTTCCTCCACTACCTAGAATTTCTACAAAGATAACAATCGGGAAGAGATGTACATAAGGTAAGATTTTTATTTTCTAAAACCCAGACCTGCTGTGTCATTCTCCTGCTCTGTATCCATCGATGGCTCCCCACTGCCTTCAGGATAAAATTTAAACTTATCTTCTTAACACTAGGTCCCTCTGTGTTCCGATTACCATCAATCTTTCCAGATTCAATTCCTTTCATTTTCCTATAAGCAGCCCCCCATACTACTTGGACTTCTGTGGCCCGCCATACTGTTTTGCTGTGTCCACAGACCACACTTTCCTTAACCCACCTTGTGGACAGCTGGTGAATTCCATCTACATTTGTTGAAGGCGGGCACATGAGGCCCAAGTCCAGGGTTTATGAAGCCTGTAGTTAGACCATTGGCCAGCCCAATTTCAAAGGGAAAAAAATACCAAGATGCATGATACCTGCTTCCTTGTAGGCCTTTAAAAGACATTTATTTGAATATATCATGAAGGTGGGGGTTTGGAAGACATTAGCCTGGAGCAAAAAACTCCCTTGCCAATTTTTCTCGGAATCTCATATTTTTTTCCCCGAAGTTTTTTTACTGTTATTTTTACTCATTACAAAAATAATGCATACTTATTACCAAAACAACAGCGACAAAAAAACTCATAAAATATAGACAAAAACAAAAGAAATAACATAAACTCCCATAATCCATACATATTCTCAGACCCTTTTATATTTATATATAGATAGAATTCTATGCCTGCATATTTTTTACAAAAATGAGATCATATTGCTCATAATTTATTCTTTGCTTGACAAGAATTCCATGTCAACAGATGAATTTCAACATAATTTTTAATGAAACTATAAAATTCTCTTTCCAGAATATACTGTAATTTATATAGCCAATCCTATATTATTGAACATTTAGGTTGTTTCCAACTTTTTTCTATCATAAATAGCACAACGACAAAATTCTTATATGTATGTCTTATGTGTCCAAGATATATCTTGCGCATATCCTCATGAGACAAGAGTCCACAAAGAGAAATTGACCAGAAGGTTAACAAACATTTTCAAGTCTTTTGACCCATTCTGTCAAAGGCCAGAGACTCCAAGTCTGAACCTACTCTGCTATTTTTTTTTTAAAGATTTTATTTATTTATTTGAGACAGAGAGAATGAGAGACAGAGAGCATGAGAGGGAGGAGGGTCAGAGGGAGAAGCAGACTCCCTGCCAAGCAGGGAGCCCGATGCGGGACTCGATCCAGGGACTCCAGGATCATGACCTGAGCCGAAGGCAGTCGCTTAACCAACTGAGCCACCCAGGGGCCCTGAACCTACTCTGCTATTATTGCAGATATTTTTAGGTACTTAGTTTAGCATTATTCCAGGAATAGGAACTATCATTTGGATAAAAGATAATTCCATAGGCTGTCCTAAGCTTAGATAGTATTTATAACATCACTAGACAGGACTTATTATAGTAGTGTAAAGCTTTGGAGTCTAAAGGGCCTGGGGTCTTCACCTTGTCTTCTCGGTGACCCTGGATAAGATCACTCAGTCTCTCTGGGCTGAGGTTTCCCCTTATAGAATGTTTCCATTCTACCTTCTGTTTTTAGGATTAAATGAGATGCTATAGGTAAAGTGTCTAGCACATGGATCTATCTCTCCAACCTCTTTTCTCTCCTTCCCATTTTAGAAACACAGATGGTGAGCCCCAGATCTCCATAAGCTCTGGAGATTTGAGTTCTGTTGTAATCTAGGAAAACCGCATTTGCCTAAACCAAACAATGTAACAGGATATAGTCTGGAAACCTGTTCTGTTTGGCAGGCATAGTATTTAAAAACATTTTTAAATTGGTTGCCAAAATTTTAAAATCTAGAGATTTTACATAAAAATAAAAATATCCCTCCTCTAAAAAACTCAGAAGGTGTGGCAACACTGAGCCGTCCTCCTGTCCTGACAAAACTGGAGTACTCTGGTCATGACATTGTCTCCATTCCCCACTGAACTTCACTGTGCCTACCTCACTCAAGCTGCCCATCTGGCCTGTGTAGCTGTTGAGTTTGAATCCCTGGTCAGGTCCATCAGGGTGTTTTCCTTTGGGCTCTTTAGTAGATCACCAAATCCTTGAGTTGGCAAAGGAGAGGAGAGGGTGCCTTGATTGATCAGGGAGCTGAAAGTTGCAGGAAATCTGTCCCTCTGGCTGCTCTCTTAAAGGTTTTTGGACCCAGCTATCTAGGGATTTAAGGGACCAAGGATGGGCAGGAGGATATAAGGTAGGGTTCAGCTATATACATACAAAACCTCTAAAGAAACCTGTAGAAACCTCTAAAGGTAGAACACATGCTCAACACTCCCTGCATGCAAACCACATGTAATTTCACTGATAACTCTGATTGATGAGAAGAAAGGTGAGGGACAAGAATGGAATGGCCATGACTATAGAGGCAGAAATTGCTGATGTTGAAACCCAGTTCTACCTATTTCTTGCTCTGTCTACTTTAACATAAATCTGTTTTCTTATCTATAAAAGGATGATTGGGAGGATGAATATAACATATAAAGTACCCATTTGTTGGATGAATGAATAAGCAAATCTTTCTACCTGGGATGCTCATCCCTCATTCTTCCCTTTACTTTTAGATCCTAGCCTAACTGCCATGCAATGGAAATTTTCTAGAAGTCCCTCCTCTCCCCACCTGGATGAATCCTGTTCTCATAGTACCACAGACCTCTCCTTCACAACATAGATCACAACTGTATTTTTACAATGTAGAGTCATCCCAGGGTTCAGTACTGGAACCTCACATTGCAAAGGGAGAGAAGGAGGGAATGTGGTTATGGTTGAATAGTATATTCTCCCTACTGACAGCTCAAGGTCTCTACATGAATATCCAATCTTGAGGCCCTGATCCACTTCCTTTTCTTACCAGAAAATACACTTCTTTTATACCAAGAGAACACTGAAGACAGGGTAAGAACTGTCCTTTATAGTGCTGTTGCTTGTTCATTCTCCTGGAATGGTACAGTGTTCAGAGCACAGGCTCTGGAGACAATGAGCCTGGATCATGTTCCAGATCTTCCAGTTATTAGCACAAGACTTCTGTGATTTATTCATTTCCTCTTCCTTAATTTTCCTTACTTGTCATATTGCATTGGCCAGGCTCTTCAATATCAAGTTGCATACTGGCTGGGATGATACTTAACTTCTCTAGGCCATAGTTTTCTCATCTGGAAGTGGGAATTCTCAACAAACCCATCTCCCAGGGTTGCCATGAGGATTAAATGATCTAAGGCTTTCGAAATACTTGGCATGGTACCTGTCACACATGAAGTATCCCACCAACTCTAAGGGCTGCTGTCATCACCCATGTAGGGGGAGCTGATTATCAGAGATGGAGGACTCCTTTGTGATCCTAAGAGGTGCCAAGTTGTTCTGTCTGAGTCCCACCTGGCCCTACCTCCTGCCTCCTTATTACTGAACCTGATAACCTAGCATATTTCCCTCCATAGGTACCTGTACAAACTCCGTGATCTTCACTTGGACTGTGACAATTACACAGAGGCGGCCTACACACTCCTTCTCCACACCTGGCTTCTCAAGGTACTGCCTTTCCAGTGAAAGTGATCTGTGCTAAGATCTCTATGGGGCCCTCACAGCAAATTAAAGAGTTAAGAAAGAAAGAGAGGTAGAAAGTGAGGGAGAAAGAGAAAAACAGAATGGAAGGGAAGAGATAAAGGAAAGGAAA